AGTCTTCCTCCTTTCTGCTTCCCTTTGTAACTGTCTCTCTCTTTTTTTACCCACTCTTGCCCGTTCTGGTGAGTTTTCCCACTCATGTCACGCCAGACATTGTTCACAAACTTCACCCAGACTTCACACAGAATCTCTTGCTTCATATTGTCTATTCTGCACAACCATTTTTTTGGCTGTCACTGTTTTTTAGGAGACAAGGGACAATATTCTGCTTTCTGTAAAGCACTCTAAAAATCTGTAGACTATACTAATATCAGAGATTAAATATCAACAATATATACTGACAAAGAAAATCGAATTATCTGAGCTGCTATACTTCCAGGCTGGCTCTGTTGTTTCTATTTCTGGTTCCATTGCTTTCTTGGTTTGATACTTGCCCTTTTATTTAGATGTTCTCTCCTATAGCTCTACCTCCCTGATTCCATATGGTCACAGCCACTCTCCTGTCACAGGAGAAATCCCGTGTTCCTATGAGGGAACAGAAGTGTTTTGTGCAATTGTTCTCATGTTAAACACATGGTAACCAGTGATGATGATGCAACAGTGTTCAGTTCAGTGGTGACAGGATTTCAGGTGAATGATGTAAAAGGATAAGCCTGAAGTCAGTTAAGGAATGACTGCAATGCACTGACAGTAGCTAAATCTAATTCTGGTTTCTTCCTTGAATTGAAATTTGTTTGTGACTGAATTCCAGGCACACAATCTGACACAATAGGAGAAGCAAGTAGAGTCTTGAAAAAAATCTGTCCAATCTGCACTGTAGTAGTGACATGGCACAAATGTGAGAAAAGGGAGATCTGTCAGTGACCAAAGGGAAGTTTTCGACAGGGTAGGAGCAAATAGATACCTGACATCTGTAAAGGGAGTTATAAAACACTACCACCTGATAGCAGAAAGTGTAAATTAAGTTGAGTTTCTAATCAGCCAACACAGAAAGAGCTTAAGCTACACAAACATCAGTTACTTCTCTGCAGACACAGATTTTACAAACAGCTGATACATTTTTTCATGGCTCTAAGAGGATGATAGATGCTTATCCAGTCACGGCTATGAACAAACCTGCTCTATGCCCAAAAGCTGCACCGATCCAACCAAAAATCCTGGCTGTCAGTGCCTTTACGGTGCTGAATTTGTGACCAAGCAAAGTGAGTATTGCTGTCAGGGTTCACAAAACAGATCGTGCAGAGATAGTGTCTACACAAACTCATTGACTTTTTTTCCCATAAACTTGCAGAATATAAGTATGGAATAGATTTTGCTTGCTTAACTGTTGTAGCCACGGAAATAAACAGTTCTTTAAGGAGAAAGGAAGGAAAAAAAAGACATAGTCAGAAATATAGGCAGTCTGAGTATTTTAGAGACAGAGAGCCTGACATCTTTGTTAGGAGAGAATAGCGTGGCATGTTTTATTACATATAATTTGTGATTACCATTACAGTTTGAATTTTAGATGTCTGTGTAGATTTAATTTCAAAGGGAAATGAAACAGGATAAGACAAACGTGAAATACATGGTGACTTCCTGTCTATCAGGAATCTCTGCAGTTAGGTAGAAAAAGGATATTACCAAAAAAAAAATTGAGAAATATTTTTTGTAAAGCAATCCCATGTCAGACCTTTAAAAAAAAAAAAAAGCTATAATAATAGTTTTTGCTCAAACATTACATCTCAGGTTCCTCTCTCATATAAAAATGGGTCTTCATCCTGCCTCAGTCATCTCCTTGCTACTGGATATATACCTTTTCTTCTGCTTTTTTCCCACTTCTATTAAAGATAGTAGAAGTAGTAGATAGCAGAAGTTGTAGGAATCAAAGCAAACAAGGACTACAATCTGTTTATTCTTAAAGACAGTCTACTTATTGCATTTTTCAGACATTATGTATAGTTTGTCATATGGCAACAGTTCTCTAAACCCTAAAATTGGTTTCTTATATATCCAAGCTCAGTTCTTCATTGAGTCATTAGCAAGAGCACTGGAAGACATTATCTCTTCATATCCAAGCAAACTGTCTCTGAATATGTTAACATGCAATTTTTAATAATATAACCTTAAGAAACAAAAATCTTTCCAACTTAAATAAGCACCTTCACTCCATATTCTGGAGCTCAAATCCAGAGAGATACTCAGACTTTGCTGTACCCACTGGGAGTCTCTCAGCACCTTAAAATTCATATGCTGGTAATCCAAGATTCCAAATACAACAGGAGAATTTCTATCTTTCTGAAGAATCAAAGCATAGGCATATTAGAACCACAAAGCAGAACATTCTGTTCCAGATGTACATCTGATGGTGATCAGTGGATAACCAGATACATAAAATTAAGTTTTTGGCACTTCAGAGCAGACACACTAGAAAATCCAAAGAATAGTACAATGAGAACACAAACTGGGAGTTGGGGAAAAATCCTGCAGTGTACAAATGAACAAGTGAGGTTTGAAGCTTGCTGTGAGTTCAGCTTATAGTATTTCAACATTTAAGAACTACCCAAAATGAAAAAAAAAAAAAATCTGGCAATAGTTTAAACCACTCATTCTGAGAAGAAAAAAAATTAAAAATCACCATGTGTTGCCACAGTATGAGATGATATTAGCACTGGGAAACATCAGAGAATTTGTTTAAATTGACATGCTTATTTCATTAACAGTACAGCAGCAGTTCATAGTACAAACTGACAGTTATTTCCTACATTACTCTCGTAGAACATACTTGTAAAACTCTCTAAAGCTTGTCTTCAAAAACCTCCTCAGGAGTAGGATGTCAAAGCACATCAGCAAAGCACACAACAGCACGAGAAAGACAATACTAGTTGAACTCATGGACACAACTGGAAGAATCTTTAATAGAATAGGATAAATCTGCAGTGCCAGCCAACAGGACCTTAAGCACAAGGTGCAAGATGCAACTGTGTAACTGGAATGGAAGTAACCAAACTCACCACATACGGTCAGTTCTGACAGGAACTGCACTCCTTAAGATTCAACCACCAAATTACAATTAAAAAAGCAAAAGACAACCTACAGTATCCTTAGGCAACATAGCACGCTATTTGTTGACTTGCAGGCTCTACCTATTACAGGGAACACAAAAAGGCTCTGCTATCTTCTTCATGTTCAGGCTCAAAAATATAATCAAACCACTAATTCAAGGGAAAAAGCCCACAATGCATTGCCCAATTTACTACTTCAAGAATATATATACAGCCTCCTCGATATCTGCAGATGAGGTGTCTTTCTAAATTTATAACACATTCGCTGAGAAGCTACCAGTACTCTTGAAAACTATCATAAAACCGTAATTCCTGCTCCCATACACCCCACTCAAACATTACTCACACAAAAAGTTCCTGCATAAACTAGACAGCATGAAGCACTTCCCAGCTAACACTCCCCTGGGTCTAGCTGACACATCATTAGACCACATTTCAACATTACGCAGCATAAAAGCCTGTCTATTCTTAAGAGCAAGCTAAACATCCAGGTTTTCAGCTGAAATGCATCATCAGACCCATTTATTTGTTGTTCACCCAGACAACTTTGTTTTCAAAGCTAACACTTTCTCCTAATACTGCACACAGGTAGAGGCACCAATGTGGTCATAAACCAGGCCAAATGTCTTCATAAGCTACTTCTAAGATTTTAATTACTTGTATCCTCAAGCCTGTAAGTGATGTCTTCCCTATCTGCCATAAAAACTTGGAGTTCACCCTTGCTTCTATCATAAATTCAAAAATTATCAGAGCCCCTTCAAACTGCTTTTGAAATATTTCTGTACAACATCATTTTTCTAGACATCACAGACAGTATCAAAAACATCACAGGCAACACAAAAAATGATAGCTTGCAAACCACAGCAGAAAACCTACAGATCAATTACCTTGCTTCCAGGCAAAAAGCATTCATTTAAAACACAAAGAAACACCCACTCCAACATCAGCATATTTCTGTTGATTTTACAGAGCATGAGAACTCCTCTCCATCCATCGTCATCTAAACCATCCACAAATGCAGGCTGAAAGTGATCTGTCTCTCTCAGTCCCCCTTGCAAAATAAAGTAGTTCCCAACTCCCTTCTGACACTGCAGAGGGGTATCACCTACCTCTTCAATCAGTGGTTTAATTGGCACGTATCCAATTAAACTCAGAAAACAGTTTTTCATTTCTATCACAGCGTGCTTAGAAGCTTGCACAGTTTTTAAAACTACAGCTTGGTCTAATAAACTACAAGCTCTGTTTCAGCTATGCCCCATTGTCATCACGCCTGTAACAACATGATAATCATATGCAAACACAGCCCATATAGTCTTTCTCACTGATGTCAGCGTGATGTACAGTAAGCAAGCAGCCTACACTCGTATTAAGAGTAGCTTTTTGTAGGGCAAAGAGGAACTTCCCTGCTCAAGAGATTCCAAGCAGCTATTTATATCTTTCTTTCATCTGGCAAAAATAATTTTGTTAACATAGTTAACACAAAACTCATTGAAAGCTCCCAAAGACTAATTTGCATAGAGACCAAATGTACTATGTCTCTATAGTCAATACCATTATCTCACCGAGTTTATAATTATTTCACATGGGCACAATGACAATTATAACAATCACACCATGTGGTTTTCTCTTTTTCACGTAATTTAATAAATTATCATCTCCTGGAGACCTTAATATCTTTAATGCTTCCATATCAAGAAAATAATTTTGTCTTTGATGTAATTTTCAGAATAATCAAGTGAAATCAAGTCCCCACTTCTCTATAACCACATTCCCTTCTTCCTATGCCTGCTTCTGTTCCACAACATAAATTAGTTTCCACTGAAAGTCTCCTGTTTATGTTGACATCTATTTATAGAATTGTATGAGAAAGATCTCAGTACTCTGTGGCTTTACCTAGGAACCCTGCAACACCTATTTCCAGAGCAGCCTGAAAAACATCAGGTCACTCCTGCACCTCCCTCTGGCTCTCCAATTACCTCTTGGTACGTCTGGGTTCTTTGCAAAAGAACAAGACAAGCAGGACAAAATAGTTCTCTGCCAGAGCAAGCAGCACTCCACAAATAGGTAGGTTTTCAGTATTTTTTTCCCTTTCATCAGCTTTTTCTAGATGTAACTCTACACCCATCAAAATAGCTACAGCTTCTAAAATAAGTGTAAGTTTCTACAGTAGAAACTTATACTATTAAAATTTACTGTGTAAACTTATTATTACTATCTATTATTATTAGGCAAATAGAAAGTTACACAACTCAGGAAGTTTTCCATCATGTATTGTTTTCTCTTAGCTAAACTACATATATTTATCTCACAACCGTTTTTTCATTAATTAATCACTTCACTATTGATTATTCATGCTTTGTTTGTAGATGGTTACTGTATCTCTGGTAAATTATGCCTCACTAAAGGGAGGTTACAATGTAACACAAACTAAGGAAAAATACTCATTATCTTTCCCATCTATCGTGAAATACTTCTATATCTGTATCATCAAACTGTTAAAGGTGTTTTATGGCCTCTCCACACTGCTCAGCCATCTCAGGGGACTTACGTTAACTTTCTCTTGAACTTACATGTTTTCTGTTTAGATTTTGTTTCCTAAGAGATTCTTAATTTTTGCTGTCAACTCATAGTATGAGGGAAAAATTCACAACCTGTTATTGATTTTATTTAGCTTAACTTCTATGGGGTTTTGCTGCTCATAATTGACCATTACAGCAATTCAGTTGCAGAGAGGTTCAACAAGAACTTATTTGCCTGTAAAGGGAATAGAGAATAGTAAGTAGGAAGAAAAACAATCTGTTGCTATATATGGATTTGGACAAATAGTGGAAAATTAATACTATTAATTCTCGACTCAGAGTATGCTTCTTTCCCAAAGCTGATTTTAAACTACCACTTAGCCCTTCAGTGTTTAAGATACAAAATAAGGTAATTAATAATTTAGATCAGTCTTTGGACTTGCATGGTCTCAAAGGATACCAAACAGTGGAAGTAATAGACTGAGATCTAAGGATGTGTTGTCAGTGTTGTTACACTGCCTATTACAGTGCCAATGCCAATGATCCACGGAAGTCCATGTGCCACTAGTTTAAAGGAACCTGTTGCTTTACCACTGCCTCCACCTGTAAGGTAACCCACAGCATATCAAAGCCAGAAAAGAGCAGTGATAGAGATGACAGATGGAATTAAGACTCCATCTCTGATGAAGTTATAGATAAAAGATTGTTTTACTTACCCTAATGCCTCATAATTAAACAGTTAACAAATGCCTGCACAGAGACATTTAAACACAAGGCACAGAAATTTAAAAGCCCTATCTAAAAACACAGATATAAAAGCCAACCAGGATATCACAACTTTGTAACATACTAATCTCAAATTCCATAAGCCTTTTGCATTATTTAGGAGAGCTACTGAATTTGTGTCTTCTGTTCCCATTATTCATATCACTGAAACATCACTTTTAAGAAATAAAGGAAACATTAGCAGTTACCTCAATTCAAGAAGCTTCCACTTTGAATACTTGAGAATGCTATGGGATGTGACAAGTTTCTATGTTGCTCTCAGTGATTTTTACTGTACAAATACTAAAATTACAGGGTTTACTTGGGATATTATCTGCACTGCCTCTGGAAATAGTGCCACAGTTGTCAATTATGATAACATCTTTCTCCTGCTCTCTTGCTATGTGGAGAAACAAACCCAGTGCTATCACTCTCACCAGCTGGAGAATTTATTAGCAAACCACTGGGCTCCTTCTGCCTCAGGACGTCTGTTGCCTGACTGCTATTTTTGCAATTTTAGATGATGTCTGTGACTAGCAAACTGTGAAGAAATGCAAAACACAAATCTATATAAAAGCATAAGAGAAACTGCTGATACTTACCAAACTATTCCCTGAGCCCCAGAGCCAATGGGTTTCAAGTTCTGGTAGCGTTTGAGAACTGTGAAGGTCGAGTCACCTACTTCCACGCTGTAGAACTGGTTGTCAACTTTGCTTTTGCTCATGTTGTAATGTTTGGCAATATATGACACATCCACTTGTTTCCCAAATCCCTGTTGTACAGAAGAAGGGAAGAGAAGAGGGAGTGGAAAAAAGAGAGGAACCAAGGTTGGTAAAACATAAGAATACTGATAAAACACTGCCAGCCTAATTTTTCAGTATAAATTCTTGCCCTTTTAGGCTCATTGTCATAGATCTACGTGAATCCTCAAATGCTCTCAAAGACTGTATCAAACCTTCTTTCGTGCAGGAAGTCACCATAAAAAGCCACTGATTAAAGAAAACTGGTCAATTCTCCAGCTGATGTTTGTGGCATTAACTGTCAACTACTGGTCTCTGCTTGCCATTACTACTGCTTTATGACTAGTGGTTTATAAGTTCCTGCAGATTCTGCATTCTCATTTGTATTGAAAAAAATACCTCATTTTAAAATAAGATGACTTACATCAATGTAGAAGTGGGACAAGAAACAGGAATTAGACTCTCCATCATCGGTTAGACAGAGCAAATAAGTGTATTCACAAGTGCTAAAACTTTCTCTGAGCATAAGAAAGGCCTTGAGAACCTTTCAACGGGAGTTGCAAAAGAAATGGAGCAGTTTATGAGTCAAACTGTGACCCAACATGGCTCAGTATCATGGAGAGTATTCAGAAGGTTTGGAGTTCTTCCAAAGTTCTAGGTTCCTAAGGATAGGACAGTTGCTCTCATGACCTAGTAAATGCATTAGTACTAAGCAAATGCCAATTTTCATGACACAAAACCAAGTTTATTCTTGCACTGTAGCTAGCACTGCAGAGCAGTGCTCCTCTCCAAAATTGTAAAATTGAAAATTAATTTTTACAAAATCAGAAAAACTCCCTCAAAGTTGCAAAATTGTCATGCAGAAAGTTACATTAAAACCACTTTATGACTACTACTGAGCTCAGTTCCCTTAGGAATATGGAGCAAAGTACACAGCAATTTGAGATAAAAATCAGAATTAGATGCTTTTAATTTAGGATTTCTACTATGATATTGAGCACAGAATGCAAAAGTTCAATGTATTACACCAAATATATCCTCAAATAGTTGACAATTCAGTTATGAAAGTCAAGACTTTCCCAAATGCCTTTGATAGGGAAAAGCAAAGATGTGCCTCTGCCTGTGCATTTATTTTCAAACACGGTGTTTAAATTTTCTTAATTGCTCTACTATAAATTTCTTCCTTTTCCCCCAAAAATCTGAATAATCAGCCTTGTTATGTGTCTGTGGACTACTAAGTTCAATTTTGATGGAGCCAGGAAAAAAGTAAAGTTGATTTGGATTGTATTACTCTTTCAATTGAACAGAACATCACTGAAGTGTTCCATGAGGTTGGTCATTAAAAACAGATACCTGACCTTGCTGAGAACTTGGATTGTCAGGTTTGCCTTAGGACAATTAATATTATTTTTCTGTCCATTATCTCCCTGGAAGGCCCATTGTCACTGGACAGCACTGGTTCATCCTAACCAATTCATTTAGAGACTTCAAAACACTTTAATAAATGTAGCTCTTCATTCAAACACAAAATCTGATTTCAGGAGACCAATTAGAAACTTTACATACACTTTTTATTCAGATGTGGCAGGGGGGAGGGAAGCCCTGCCCTAACACAGAAAGTGAGAGGTTTATGGACACTGACACAGTGGCAAATTGAAGGTTACAGACAGTGAAATGATTCCACAACAGGTTTGAATTTTTGTCATTGCAAGACAGACTGCATCTGATTCACACTATGTAGTCTTAGTTTTCAAATTTCTTCCATTAGGTGAAGAGAGATGCATAAATTTGACTACCCCAGATATTTATACCAGACCTGGGATTGAGAGGCTTTTTTTTTTTTAAAAAAAAATATGCTCCTGACAGATAAGAATTTCACAGCTCCCTCTGGCTAGACACAAACATTTGGAGCGTGGTTTTTTCTGATGTTATTATCAGAACAATGCATGAGAACAATGTTCAGCATTAACACCCATTACTCTGAAACCAATGTTTATATATAAAGCGTCAGCATAAAAATTGCATTCCTTAGTGAGCCTGACTCATAGCCAGCTCCCCTGGAAGCACAGATACAGAGACTTTTTTAAACACATTTGATAACTGCGTTAAGGCTTGGGTGAGCCAGGCCTGCCACAACTTGTTTGTGTCCTCACTCCCAAACTACCTGACAGCTTGTTGTGTGGTATGGAGCTACACGGGAACAGATATTTTATCACTTTACATTTAGAATTGTGTGCATATCAAAATTTCTTCCTTTTAAGTCAGTCTAACTGTGTGAATTACTGGTCTCAGGAACCTCATGCTCCCTACAGTGGGATTTCTGAACTACAGCAGTTCCAGCAGGTGTTTATTTTAAATCTTAATTAAAACAGCTCAAACCCACCACTTTATAGTACCTCGGTTATACGGATAATTAGCAAAGGTAATTGCTTCAGTCAACAGCAACTAAAGTCATGGGACACAGAAAACCACAACTGGTAAGAACACACAAATGTCTTGATGAGCAGCTCTCGTCTGTTACACAGATCATTCCTATAACAATCTGCTCCTAACAGTGTGCGAGTAGAAAAGGTAAAGACTGTTTTATTTTTCATGGAATCTTTTTTTTCTTTCTGGATTAATATTTTTCTGTGTACTTAAGAATCTGTGCACCATAAGGTCTTTGACAAAAAACAAAAACATAAACACTGAGCATTACTTCTGATTCAGTTTGAAGTTAACTTTAAGCAGAATGCCTCTACAGAGTGACAAACACTTCAGCTTTTTGGACAGGCTGAACAGTTTCCAGGTCATCTACTAGACTGCCTCCTCACTTTAAAACCCACACTCCTAAAAAAACTACAAAAAACCCCCATATTTTCCAATTTTTCCAAAGCCTAAATAAGCAAAATGAAAACATAAGCCTACTGCTACAGCCCAATGTACTGCTTACTTTCATAAGAACCAGGAGATGAATAAGTATTCTTGTCATGATCCTAACTTAAATCAAACCCCTAAACCAATAAATTAACAGCATTATTGGATTAATCACATCTGATCAGATCCCCAAACCAAGATGACACATAATCAAGAACCATCTTCAAGCTGATACAACAGCCACTTCCTAATGAGGACAAGGAAACAGCAGTTTTGTTTTACTCTAAAATTAAGGTAAAAAACCTTTTCCCATTAGCAAGGAAAATCATAGTCTTTATAGAGCACATCAGTATTAGCTTTAGTTTCAAACCCTGATGAAATGCTTCTTCAAATCCACATAACTCATCTTAAAGAAACCTGCACACTACATTTTTGTCTTGTTCTGTTATGTTTTCAGTGCTCACTCAAACCCCTTCTAGAAGCTTTGGTGTTGGTATAGAAAAAACATCCCCTTCCCTCCTTTCCCTGTCCTCCATCTACACCACTAAGCTATTTCAGATTCAGGTTTTACTGCATAATGTTTACAAGTTCTGTACTGGCAGCTACAGTTAAAGTTTTGATTATCTGGCATCAGAAAGGAACCCAAGGCTAGGAATTTCCAGTATACACCCTTCTGTATAAACACCTAAACCAGAAACTTCTCTCAAATGAGACTGATAGTGACAACTTAAGAAACTAGGAACCAGCACTTCATTCAGAATTAGATGGGGGAAGGAAGTTTGTAGTAACACATGGCAATCAGGTTTGCTTCTCAGGATATCACAGAAAAGGTGTATAGGTTTCATACAGCAAAGTGAATTCCAGTGACTCAAATTTTCAGGTGAACTTTAAATGAACTTGGGCGAGCTACAATACCGGGGCCCCAAAGTAATAGTAAACACTGCAGATGTGAAACAAAAGCAAATTTCTCTGTTCTTTTCACTTTGAACAGAACAGATCTAAGTTTCACAGACCTTTGCATAATGTGAAAGATTATTCCTCAGAGACAAAGTAAGCATTGGAGTGCCATTTGTTCTTGTTTTTCATAACTATTTAGACAATGGAAAGACATTGCTTCAACACTGATAGGAACTTAACTTTCATTTCACATATACAAAAATGTAAGCACCATTACTTTGGTTTTTAGACAAAAATCAAAACTTCTAAACACACACTCCCACACCCACTCCTCAGTGCCATTCTCTTTCCTCCATCCTGAGAAAGTTAAAGGAAAAAGACGTGAAAGTTTTTCAGCAATGAAAACATAACTATCCTTGCTGGCTCATTTAAACACATCTGCAATGATGTTTGCTTAATATTCAACCAATTGAGAAGGACAGAAAATAAATTGTCAAGACTGAAACATCTGAGGTGAAGGGAAAAAGATACTCTCACCATTACTAAATGCTTAGTGAACATATATATTTTTCTTTCAAAGAACAATTACTTAAAAGTTCAGTGAAACTTAAATAACTTAGTGGCTCACACAGTTACAAACTGTATTCTTTCAATTTTTTTCTTTCAGAGCACAGACAGCAAGAAGGTTAAAAAGCACAACAGAAAGAAAGGATGTTATTTTCTATATTACAAGGTGAATTGCTTCCCGATATCCCATTTTATTTGTCTATTTCTATCCTACAAAATAACCATATTTATTATATTTCACAGGCAGACCTTTGTTTCTGAACACCATTCCTTCTATTATTGATGACTTAAAGTATCACAATTTCTCACAGCTCAGTATCTCATCCATTTTGTCTTTTATAGATAAAAATCACACTAATGGCAGTTTAAGACAAATTGTTCTCTTTTGCATCTCCAAGACAATGAGTGCTGTCACAGAACCTGTTAGCAGGCGTCAGTGGAGGGGAAACGACCTCCATGTAGCATCCATCCCTGTCTGCCCACAGGAATACCTACAGGGACAGCTTTTCCAGGGTGCTAGGATGCAAGGCTACTGAAATCAGCTAAATGAATCCACTTGTGTAAATGCAGGTGAGGAAAAGAATTAGATGGGAGGCTGCCTCCTGATTTGCAGCTGGCACAGCATCCAAAGACCAGCAGGATGCGACAGAGAGGTTGTTCTGAGCCAGCAATCCTGATGGCTCACCAGTGGCCCCCCACACCTCCACCCCATCTCAGGCAAAGAGATTGGTATAGACAAGAGCACATTTCAGAGGTGGATGCAGCCTTTGATTCCCTCAGGATCCAAAAGGATAATATCTTAAAGCTACAATTTGACCTTAAAAGTCAGATGCTGAGATTATACAAACTGAAATTCACAAGTATGGTAAAACCCTCAGTCTTCTTGCCAGCTTCAAAAACTCCTACAGAGGCAAGACCTGCTCACCCCTGCACTTCAGCTAAGGCAACAACGCTATTAATTTAATGGCTATCCTCCCACTTGCACAGCTGCAATTTTCTCACAAGATTCAAGTGTCAGAATTCTGAGATAAACATGCATTTACTGAGCCCTCTACTTTGGATTTAACAATCACAGGTTTTGCTGTGTCAATTTGGATGGCCACAGAAAATGCCACTTGGGAAATATAGAGTACCTTTGCAGAGAAAGACCTACTAAAGTATTTTTAATCATGTATTCTGTATATGCCACATTTATGGCAGAAATTATGTCTTTTTTTCTCACCATAAAGACAGACTTCTCACTTATTCTACTCAAAAGTCCACAGATAGAGATCAAAACTCCTACAGAAAGTAGGTTTTTCATCCTCTGTGTGTGTGTTTGGATGTAATATTACAGGTTTTGATCTTACCAGCCATATCACACCACAGTTCTCCATTCTTCCACCTCACTCTCATCCTGTAAGGATTGTATCAGGAAGTCAGTCTTCCTGAGTTTAGTGTGTTTTGAATGGGATTTAAATGTTAATTCTCTGCCTTCTTTTAATCTCTCTCCAGTAGCCCTGCCCTAGACCCCAGACACAATCTACATTCCTTTATGAAGTTTGCCTTTCAAGTAGCCAGGTGAGCCCTGCAAACGACTGGTTAGTCACTGATCTTTATATATTTGCTTTGTTCAATCTATTTTAACACATCATATAAAACATCTTATTAGATGAAGTACAATATATGTAAGTGCTGGGTTTTGGGGAGTTTTTATTTTGGGGTTTTTTTTGTTTAAACACTGTCCTTGTTTAACCTCTTCTAACTGAGATACCAAAAAACAATCAGCTCACTTAGTTCTGATTACACATGAAGCATCAGGTCTGCCTTCTCTCTCCTTTTCAATTTTATCTACTCAAAACATGAAGCAAACACTACTTACTTATTCTTCACTTGTCCTCAGCATGTTCACCAAGTTTTATCTACTTTTAATTCCTTCTTTTTTACAGGCACAAAGTTTTTGGAGCTCATTTATAACTGTGGTATCCCACGTTGCTCAGAAGTCCCTATGACCCAAAAGTGCATGCTTCATTCCAGGCCAGATTTCAAACAGATGACCAATATGTGAGTGTCTGCACAACAAAACAACCAGTTCAAATGATTCCTCATTCCCCTGATGCCTGAAGAACTCAATGCTGACACACAGGTGACATCCAACCCTGGCCATTGTACTGAAGAAGGTAGGGTTGAAAGGACTGATCAAGAAACACAGAGAAAAAATTCCTTGAGACTGAGGTTTCTTTATGGACAGGAACAACATCAATGATCCAAATAAAAAATGTAGCCAAAAATATGGAAAAGAAAGATTTGAGACTAGGTCTTAAAGCTACTGTGAATATGTTTGCAAACATCTGACTCAGGTACAGCTCCAGAAACAGAAAACCAGCAAAGACCCACTGTGGATCTGTGGCCAAAATAGAGGAAAGCAACATCAACAGCAACATCTAACTATGTTAGATGAGAAGAAACACTGCAGTGTGTGTATTCAGTTTGTTCAGAGGCCCTAGATTTGAAAAAGCAGCAATAACATGGGAAGAAGCAAGATACAACAAAGATTAGGAAAGAGAAATGGGATCAGTAGAAGTAGGCCAAAGCACCACAACATTAAGGAATGAAAAGTACACTCAATTTATCAACAGTAGTGAAGGGGTTAAGAAGGCTTCTGAAGAAGCACAGTGTGTTAAAAGCATAGGAGACTCAAGATGGGATTAACAGCTCTTCTTTATTTATTGCATATGTTGTTAATACAATATATTTCAAATAGTTTACAGTTCTCAGAAAACTGGAATTACACTGAAATACTGGGTATTGTTTAAGAAGCTTTCTTCTAGTTTGCAAACAGGGCAGTAAGAGGACTGACTACATGAGGTGCTGTGCCCCAATGCACATCATGTCTTCCTTTAAAAATAAAGAGGCATGTAGCAACAGTACAGATGAAGTACTAAAAAGATAAACTTCTCAATATGATAATATAATTACAGTATTTGCCATGAAGACAATAGTTAATGAAAAGATTCTCCCTTTTAATAAATAAAAAAGTGGTTTATCACACATCAAAAATAGACTAGATGAATTGGCCAATAAACAAAGAGCAATGCCATTATTAATACTGATCTTTTCTGTGTGTAAAATAAGAAGTTTCCTAAAATCATGTGATTTTTAAATGGTCATTGATGCAATATTGCACTGTCTATATACCATTTATTCAAGACAGGTAAACATGACTGTGGAAATAAAATAAGACAGAAAAATATAGGGAGAAAAATACATCTAGAGAGAAATTAAAGCCTTTTAAATTTGGGGGTTTTTTGTTCATTTGTTTGGTGGTGGGTTTTGTTGTTGATCTGTTTGTTATTTTGAGTTGAGCAGGACTTTGCAAAAATATCCTCAATATGCACACTAAGATTTATTTCATTAAGTCTTCATTCAGTGGCATCAATACAGCACCAGTTCCAACTTCAGCATGCAAAAACACTGATATACTGTGTCTGGTACATGAAATTGTTTAAATTGGGCAATAAAGACTAGTGATGATGTGTAACCAAAGAAACAGCATGTGAATTTACACCCATGATTCACTTTAAATTTTTTCTTAATGTATATGGCTGGGTCCTCAACAGCTAATCTCACAGTAATTCCACATCCCACTTTTCTGTTAAAAAAAGATTATTTTTTCAATTAGATTTTTAAGTTAAATTTTTAAATTAAAATATTAAGTGTAGCAATACAGAAGTTTTCTGATATACAAATTGTAATAATAAAGTTGTGTTTTTTAAAGAAAAGAAAATTCAACACTACCAGACCAAGTCAAAAAAAAAAAAAAAAGAAAAAAAATCAAGGAATTCTATTCTAAATAAAGCTATCCCATGTAGCTACAAGTTTAGAAAACTTGAAAATTCTGACAGGCTATACATGTCTTGATAGTGACTAAAAAAATATACTGACAGACTAAATGGAGGAAAACGTGGATGAAGAAGTCAATATCCTTTAGGCATTGTTAGCTATTATTAATATTAGTATTAAAATTTAATGTCCTATTCTACTTACAGTATACTACTCTGCATTATACTGCGCTTCAATAAAACCGTGTAGGGTCCTAGAGATAAAGCTTGTTGGTGATATCAACCTTACAGAAGTAGAATGAAATTCTATAGGCTTTCTTGTCCTACCTTTCTATTATGATAGAAAAGCAGATATCCTTTTCCTCAGCCTTAAAAGAGATGGCTGTTTCAGAACATGAATTGGCTACCATTGTCCAGTAATTCCAGATTTAGGTATTTTTATATTGCAAATGGGGTGACAGGGTGAGGAAGTATATATTTACTCTACTTATGCTACTGGGTATTTCTCAGTAAAGGTTTTCCCTTTTCCTTATGTTGGAAATTCTTAAAATTCTGTTCCTGCTGAATTAGCATTTCATCATACAAAACTAGTATGTTCAGTGGCATAAGCTCTTTGTTGAGAGAAGAGTCCATAATTATGCATATGCCACTTCCCTTCACAGCCTGTAAAGCTATGCCTTTAAGGCCATGAGAGAGAAACTGCCACAAATATATGTAACAAGAAAAATACACCCCCAGTACTAAAAATAATTGGAGTTCTGCTCAATACTGTAGCTTTAGAAAGCACAACTCTTAAGGTTTGCAGAAAGTCTGCAGTGGTGCACAAATTTGAAATGGAAGCAGGACTTGTACATAATAAACACAAGCCACATGTTCACTCAAAGCTACAGTTTTGTGCTCTCTTATCTAATGCTGTCGGAATAGTTGTCAGTTTTGGACACCTCAAGATATGAGTGGCAATATCTGCCTGTTGCTGATTACAACAATTCTGCTGTGACATCATCATCTTTTGTTAAAAGAATCTTATCAGTTTACTGATTCAGCAGATGGGAGTTTCATAAAGGTACAAATGAGCTTTATACCTAAAGCAGAAGAATAATTAGTAAACCACAGGGCATTTGATTTCCACATTAGCATTAATAAGAATGGAATAAACAATATTGCTACCTGGAGACTTATTCATAGTCTCTAAGTAAAGACCTGAATATTTGGATGAAGTATTACCAGGACAGAGATATAACCCCCATCCCACCCTATGCAATACAAATGAACAGCATCCATGACAGGTCTTAATCTTAACCTTATGGTCTTAACATCCATAAGGTCTTAATGCAACAAAACACTTAATTTAGAGACTGTTTTTGTACACAATGATAACTGCTATTTGGATCAGTCAGTACCTATCTTTGTGGAAAGAATAAATTAACAGGAAGCTTAAACCAGCTTTTATCTGCAAGAGAATCAATGTGAAGACCTGAAGGCCCTGAAAAAGGTATTTGTGTGTTAAGTGCTTGAAGAATAGAATCCCGTTTCCTGCAATATTGGGATAGTATCTCTTTGTGTGCATTTATTGGATGACTCCTCTCTAGGCACCTGCTGTAGCCATTAAAAATGAATCTATTTAATTCAGTGATAAAAATGCATCCAAAATGCTGTTGATTTCATCATATATACTTTAACAAAAACACTGTGAACACATTTGGTTCTCTGTGTTCCTCTGAACACCTTTTATCAAGTAATGGTAACAGAAAAGGAATGTCTTCAGTAAATCAAGAACCTGGAGTGCAGTGACAGAAAGGATTGGCTGCACATAGCCGTGCACTGACTGATGCCAAGACTAAATGAGAACTGGATGTAAAAGGAAGTGATTTAGAGTACATTTCCTCTCTGCATGTGTAAAACAGAAATGTTTCTGTGCAGCTTTGTTTTGGTCTAAGTAAAAGGGAGAGGAAAGTCAGCAGCAGAGCTATGCAAAAAACACTATTCTGCATAGTGAAAGTAACGTTTTCATCAATGACATCTTTTTCATAAAATGTGATAAAAAAAAATCTGTTTTGCAATTTTTGCAATTTTTTTTTTAACAAAACTGTCAAAACATTACAAAAATACTATGTTTAGCAAAATCCCTTCTCTCAAAAACCGTGGAAGAATTAAGCCAGTTGAACATATCACACAAAGAACAGAAGATAAAAAAGAGAAGACAGTTAGACAGATTATCAAACTGAATAGACAAGATCCATCCCAGAACTGGTGATACTTAGTCCAGAGCCAACCTTCTCAGGAGAACAAGTATTTAGTACTTGAGAGTTAAAAAACGTAAAGTGAACCTTCCGACACCTGACACTGTTTTGTGTTAAATGCTTACATACACGTAGTAGCTCTTTCTTCTTAAACTTACTTGAACCCCAATGTAATATAAAAGGTAAAAAATAGTGTTTATCATAAAGTAATTTCTAAGAATGCAGCATCACTCTCACCCTCAAAATTGAAGAATGTTCCTAATGTCCCCCCACTGAGTTAGATTACTGGTGTTCCATCAGAGTTCCAACCCCTTAAGAAGAACCAAACCCTTCCAACAAAAAAACACAAACCCTAAACTATGAAGAGACAGAATTCAAGCACAAAAGACTGTACAGAAGTGAGCAAAAAAAGTCATCTTTCAATCATGAGTGAAAAAAATATGCATATACATACATATATGCTAGCTAAATTAACCAAGAGAATCAAAAACTGGACAAATCAATAAGCTTTTTTCTTTGCATCACTGATTTAGTCTCAGCCTTGTAGACTTCCATGTACTGTGACCAAGCAATTTCAAGGGTAATGTAGAAATACAGAATTGGCTATTGTGCAGCATCACAGCTCTGGAACCTGCATAGCACATGGAGTTCAATGGGAGACAAGACAAACACCACACTTTTAATTACCCTCCCTACACTTCCAGTAAAGGTAAACTAAGGGACAGAAAATTACAGTCACAGGCTACAAGGTAAAAGGCTCTGTCTCAAAAAACCCTAGAGGCTAAGATAAAATAGTTTTAGTTTGCATTTTTTCTGTTTGCAAACTGTGCCATTATTTTTCACTAAAAAAATTACATTAACATCAATCTACAAAATAAACTTAAAAGTAAATAGAAAAGTAATTTTTGTGATGCATTTTTCTAATTTTTTGTATTTATTCTCTTTCTTATAACCAGTTACTCGCAGTAAGCTCCCGAAATTCACTTCTATTTTTCTTTTATTATAGTATGAATTGCAAAAATGAAGTACAAGTATATACTGTACCTTGTTTTACCTGTAAGGAACACACACCTGACAAAAGGCAATCTTCACATCCAGAGTAGGTTCACCACAATAATACAAGAAATGGCGGCTCATAAATACCTGCAAT